AAATAAATAAATAAAAATAAAAATAAAAAAACTACATAATTAATTTTTTTTCTTTCATATTGTTCCGTCAATTTAAGAAATATGTCATGCATGTAAAAGCACAGAGAAGGGATCAAATTATTCAAGGACGAAGCATGGGAATTAGCTTGATCTAACTGTAGTCAAGAGTGCTTCTACATATTAATTTAGTGCCTTAAAAAATGTTTAAATCACAGGAATAAATAAACAGATACTTTATAAGCTTATCAATCTCATATCTAAATATACATGTATATACCACAACATGCTATCGATGGTAAATAGATGCCATACTTGTGGGCTGTGGCGCACCACACTTCGACTGCTACAAATTCAGAACTATGGTCACACGGCAGCTAAAAATTAAAAAATGAAAATAAAAACATTTATTTACATTATATATATATATATATATATATATATACACATCACTTTTTTTTATTAACTTGAAAAAATAAAATTTCTGATAAAAAAAATATTACATCAGACTCATCATGTAGAGTTACGTGTGAAATTCAATAAAATCACGACACATGATAAAATTCTCCCTTATTATTCAAGTGTTATTGTATGTTATTCATATGTTATTGTGTTCTGAGAATATTCTTTGTGTTATAATAACGCAATAACACATCAAAAATACTTGAATAACATATAATAACACCATTAATAACATTGGAGGAATATTCTTTTGTGTTACCGGACCGATTTTTTTTTCTCAAATTCATTTATGTGACGTGATTTCATTGGACTCCTACGTGCGGGGTCCTGATGTAATATTTTTTTTCTTTTAATTGTGAAAAGTAAAATTTATATGTTAGATATGCAAATACATAGAATCAAATGATATATATGAAAATTGTGATGAAGTTATCCGTTAAAAAATGTATTTTTAAATGAGCAAACTTTATTGTCAAGAACTGAAGCTGGTTTTTCTCTTTTAAGTCTCTTTAAATATTTAAAATAAATAATCTTAAATGTGATTTACTTCACAAATGATAAAACGCCA